AGTGAGACCCCAACTCAAAAAAAAAAAAAAAAGAAAAAGACAGTTTCATGTGTGAAGTGCATACACAATAAAGATTTGTTGAAGCTGGGTGCAGTGGCCCATTCCTATAATCTCAGCACTTTGGGAGGCCAAGGCAGGAGGATTGCTTCAGCCCAGAAATTCAAGACCAGCCTAGGCTACATAACAAGACTTCCTCTCAACAAAAAATTAGCCGGGCATGGTGGTGTGCGCTTGTACTTCCAGCTACTGGAGGCTAAAGCAGGAGGATCACTTGACCCCAGGAAGTTGAGGCTGCAGTGAGCCATTATCATGCCACTACACTCCAGTCTGGGCAACAGAGTGAGACCCTGACTTAAAAAGAAGAAGAAAAGAAAAAAAAAATTGTTGAATTCATGAATGACTAAAATGGGGAAGATGGATGGAGGTTAGATGACCTGTCACCAGCAACATCTATTTTTTTCCACCTGCAGTTTGGGTTGATTGGAAAGTGGTGAAACAATGCTGATCCTACAAAGAAGTCATTGGAAATGGTAACAATTTTTTTTTTTTTTGAGTTGGAGTCTCACTCTTGTCGCCCAGGCTGGAGTGCAGTGGCACACTCAAGGCCACCGCAGCCTCGACCTGCTGGGCTTAGGCTATCCTTCCGCCTCAGCCTTCCAAGTAGCTGGAGCTACAGACGCATACCACCACGCCTGGCTAGTTTTTGTGATATATTGTAAAGACGAGGTCTCACCAAGTTCCCCAGGCTGGTCTCGAACCGCGGCCTCAGGCAGTCCTCTTGCCTCGACCTCCCAAAGTGCTGGGATTACAGGCTGAGTCAACGTGCCTGGCCAATGGCAACAATTTTTTAAAAATCTGCTTGCTTTGCGGTCTCAGGATACACTTAAATTCGAAAACAACAACAAAGTTAAAACAACAATTACTCCAGAGGTTGGTCCAAGATTGACTTTGCCAGTCCACGAATTAACCATTTACAACTCTGTGAAGGTGGCCATATTCACATGGGAGTGCTTGAAGTTATTTTAATTACAGTTTTAAAAAATAGTTCTTGTCAATGAATTTAAGTCAATCCTTTGTGGAGTTCCAGAGGCGCTTCCAGAAACCTGTGTTGGAAAGCATTGCTTCCCTGGTCTGGCATTACAGAATCCCCTAAAACCCTCTCTACTTCCCAAGGTGCCTCCTTTTTCTAGCACAGATCCCTCCTGCGGTCTAGCTGCTACGAGCGACAAATGGACCCCCCCCGACCCAGGTGAGCCCGTCCCCACCCCGAAGGCGTTGATTGGTCGGGCATGCTCGGAACACCGCCAACCGCGTAGCACGACCTCGGGAGGGTCCGCCCCCGTCCCGCCCCGTAGGCGGCCGGGTTTGTTTTGGCGTCAGGCGCGCGCTATGATGACGCCACGACGCTGACGCTCGAGGATGGCGGCGGCGGTAGCGGCGGCGGCCGCTGTGGTCACGGCCCAGAAATGGTCGGCAGAGCCGCCAAGACGCCGAAGAGCCCGCCGCCCGCGCGAGGTGAGGCGGTCTGGCCTAGGGCGACTGCCCAACGGGCGGGAGGGGCTGACGAGCTGCTGCTGCGGTCGCTTTCTGGCGCACCAGGGCCTGCCCCTGCCCAGCCCGCAGCCCACGACCGGTGCCCCGGGGCCTACTGGACCGGAGAGCAGGCCGGCCTATGGCTGCTCGGGGTCTTCGGTGACCGATCCTGGACTAGCTTCGAAACGTTCTGTCGTGCTGGGTAGTCCGTCTCTAGGCCTGCATAGACCTGGTGGACGTGGTCAGCTGCCCTGCCTGTTGTCCAGCTGCTCCGCCTCCAGCACGGGTTAGGTTGATCTAACCCGATTGTCCTCACTGCCTTCTCGCGCTCGGCGCCTACTCCATACCCCTCCTTTGTGTCTGAACGCCAGGGGCCCGCGGGGCAGCTGATCTTTTCCTTGTACAGGCTGAGAAAAAGCAGGCCTGAGTCCAGCTGGGTTTCCTGCTTGGCGACCCTGTCCATTCCTCTACCTTCAAGAGGAAGCCTAGGTCCCCACACTTAGTCCTCCTCCGTGAACCGGCTGAAGTGATAATTCCCACTTGAAAATCTGAATAAGTCCTTCACTGCCTAAAACTGGCTCCTTAATACCTACAGAATAAAAGTCACATTTCTTTTTTTTTTTGAGTTGGTGTCTCACTCTGTTGCCCATACTGGAGTGCAGTGGCCGCTCCCGGCCACCGCAGCCTCGACCTGCTGGGCTCCGGCGATCCTTCCACCTCAGCCTTCCAAGTAGCCGGAATTACAGGCATGCGCTACCATGCCCGGCTGATTTTTTTAATGTATTTATTGTAGAGATGAGGTCTCGCTGCCCAGGCGGGTCTCGAACCCACGGGCTCAGGCAATCCACTCACCTAAGCCTCCCAAAGGCACGGGATTACAGGCTTGAGCCACCAAGCCCGGCTTGGCCACATTTCTTATCAAGGCATTTAGGACTCTTTATAATCTGATAGAAACCTAACCCTGCAGTCAACACTTGGGCATGTCTGCATTCTGTTTATATAGTTTATTGTTGAGGCTGTGAGCCTCCTTTTCCCTCTGTGGTTTCATGCTTTTGTGCTTTAGGTATGTACTTTTCTCAGTTTGTAGTACTCTTCCTTCTACCCCATCCCTACCTACCAATACTGGAAACCTAGATCTGGCCTATAAAATCCACTTGAGATGTTATTTCCTTGGAAAAACCTCCCTTGCTTCACATGTAACCATTGACTTCTCTGTATCTTCATCCATGCCATTACTGTTGAGTATATCCTGTTGTGTCACATGATGGACTTCTGTCTGCATCTGTCTGGCTCTGTGCCTGGTATAAAGTAGGGTCTTTGGTAGCATTAAGTAGGTTGCAGATTTATGAATGGATATAGATTCAGCTGTATTACTGCGTACCTATCAGGGCTAGGATATAAGATAAGCACAGCAAACACCTGCATATGTGTCTGGTAGGTGGTGCAGCCTCTTAAACTTTGGTGGTCTAAAATCCCCTGGAGTAATTTTGTCAAGATACAAATTCAGGTGTCTGTCTCTATGAGATTTAGATTCAGAAGAGCTTCCTTGTGTTGTATGATTTCCTCAATGGCGTTTCTTGTCCTCAGGGAAAACTTAAAAACACTCAGGGTAGATTCAGTTGGCTATTCCCCTAGAAGAGATTTGGAATGCTGACTCACTAGAGAGTAGATTTGCTGAATAATCACATTGTCTGGGTCTAATTGCAGTTTGTTAAGTTGTATAAATGAGCTAAAGAAAGTGCAGCCTCCAGGAAACCTGCTTACCTCTGACACTGAGCTGCAGTTGCACCTCACCTCAGATTTGCTTGGTACCTGGAACAGAATGCCCTTGTAGATCCTTGTGTCTATGGAATCTGATATAGGTGCCAGAGTCCTCTGTCAGTCACAAGTTCATAGTTAAATGAGTGAGATTTTGATTTGGCAGTCAAATGCGTGAGATTTTGGTCTGGCTTTCTGTTTTTTTTTGTTTGTTTTTTGTTTTGATTTGGAGTCTCACTCTGTCGTCCAGACAGGAGTGCAGTGGTATGCTCATGGCTACCGCACACCCTCGACCTGCTGGTTCAGACAATTCTTCTACCTCAACCTTCCAAGTAGCTGGAACCACAGGTGTGCGCCACCATGCCCAGCTAATTTTTTGATTAATTTAGAGACGAAGTCTTACCAAGTTGTCCAGGCTGCTCTCGAACCTCTGGGCTCGAGCAATCTTCTCACCTCAGCCTCCCAAAGTGCCGGAATTACAGGCATGAGCCACATGATTTTGTTTTAAAACAAGGAAAACTGACACAGAAATTACATTTTCAGAAATACTGCTACACCTCCATAAGCATACAAAGATATATTTGTACCTTTTTTTTTGAGTTGGAGTCTCACTGTGTTGCCCAGACTGGAATGCAGTGGCACGCTCCCGGCCACCGCAGCCTCAGCCTGCTGGGCTCCGGCGATCCTTCCACCTCAGCCTTCCAAGCAGCTGGTACTACAGGCGCGCGCTACCATGCCCGGCTAATTTTTTGATTTATTGTAGAAATGAGGTCTCGCCAAGTTGCCCCGTCAGGTCTTGAACCTGTGGGCTCAGGCAATCCACCCACCTCACCCTCCCAAAGTGCGGGATTACAGGCTGAACCACTGAGCCCGGCTAGCATTCTTTATAATAATGAAAAATTGGAAACAACCCAAATTTCCGTCAATAAGTGAATAATTAAATAAATTAATTTATAGACATCTAATAGAATGCTTCACAGTTATTGAAAAGCATGAGGTAAATTCATATATAGTATTGACAAGGAAAGAGAGATACCAGTAAATGAGCTTTATTAAGTGGCTATATGCCAGGATCCATATCTGTGATTTTTTTTTTTTTTTTTT